AGAGTCCTCTCCAGCTGATTTTCAGGTGTTATATCAGTATGTAGTGTCTCTACTTTAAAGAGTCCTCTACTGCTGATGTTCAGGTGTATATCAGTATGTAGTGTCTCTACTTTAAAGAGTCCTCTCCTGCTGATGTTCAGGTGTATATCAGTATGTAGAGTCTCTACTTTAAAGAGTCCTCTCCTGCTGATGTTCAGGTGTATATCAGTATGTAGTGTCTCTACTTTAAAGAGTCCTCTCCAGCTGATGTTCAGGTGTATATCAGTATGTAGTGTCTCTACTTTAAAGAGTCCTCTCCTGCTGATGTTCAGGTGTATATCAGTATGTAGTGTCTCTACTTTAAAGAGTCCTCTCTCCTGCTAATGTTCAGGTGTATATCAGTATGTAGTGTCTCTACTTTAAAGAGTCCTCTCCAGCTGATGTTCAGGTGTATATCAGTATGTAGTGTCTCTACTTTAAAGAGTCCTCTACTGCTGATGTTCAGGTGTATATCAGTATGTAGTGTCTCTACTTTAAAGAGTCCTCTCCTGCTGATGTTCAGGTGTATATCAGTATGTAGAGTCTCTACTTTAAAGAGTCCTCTCCTGCTGATGTTCAGGTGTATATCAGTATGTAGTGTCTCTACTTTAAAGAGTCCTCTCCTGCTGATGTTAAGGTGTATATCAGCATGTAGTGTCTCTACTTTAAAGAGTCCTCTCCTGCTGATGTTAAGGTGTATATCAGCATGTAGTGTCTCTACTTTAAAGAGTCCTCTCTTGCTGATGTTCAGGTGTATATCAGTATGTAGTGTCTCTACTTTAAAGAGTTCTCTCCTGCTGATGTTCAGGTGTATATCAGTATGTAGTATCTCTACTTTAAAGAGTCCTCTCCTGCTGATGTTCAGGTGTATATCAGTATGTAGTGTCTCTACTTTAAAGAGTCCTCTCCTGCTGATGTTCAGGTGTATATCAGTATGTAGAGTCTCTACTTTAAAGAGTCCTCTCCTGCTGATGTTCAGGTGTATATCAGTATGTAGTGTCTCTACTTTAAAGAGTCCTCTCCTGCTGATGTTCAGGTGTATATCAGTATGTAGTGTCTCTACTTTACTTTAAAGGGTCCTCTCCTGCTGATGTTCAGGTGTATATCAGTATGTAGTGTCTCTACTTTAAAGAGTCCTCTCCTGCTGATGTTCAGGTGTATATCAGTATGTAGTGTCTCTACTTTAAAGAGTCCTCTCCTGCTGATGTTCAGGTGTATATCAGTATGTAGAGTCTCTACTTTAAAGAGTCCTCTCCTGCTGATGTTCAGGTGTATATCAGTATGTAGTGTCTCTACTTTAAAGAGTCCTCTCCTGCTGATGTTCAGGTGTATATCAGTATGTAGTGTCTCTACTTTACTTTAAAGGGTCCTCTCCTGCTGATGTTCAGGTGTATATCAGTATGTAGTGTCTCTACTTTAAAGAGTCCTCTCCTGCTGATGTTCAAGTGTATATCAGTATGTAGTGTCTCTACTTTAAAGAGTCCTCTCCTGCTGATGTTCAGGTGTATATCAGTATGTAGTGTCTCTACTTTAAAGAGTCCTCTCCTGCTGATGTTCAGGTGTATATCAGTATGTAGTGTCTCTACTTTAAAGGGTCCTCTCCTGCTGATGTTCAGGTGTATATCAGTATGTAGTGTCTCTACTTTAAAGAATCCTCTCCTGCTGATGTGCAGGTGTATATGTAGCCTTTGCAGACCATTTACATGCACAAAAACCTATACAACAAACTATAGGAGAGGGAAAACCCCAAAAAGCAGAATAGGGCCTCTTTAATTGCATGATTAGGATTTGAATAAGTAAGTAAGTAAAACTTTATTTATATAGCACCCTTCTCAATACAGATGTACAAAGTGCTTTACAGTACAGTACACAGGACACAATTCAAAGTACAACTGTAACATTTAGAATAAAAGGCATAAAACAGCAGCAGGTAATACATAGGATAAAACATACAACAAAACACCAATAAAAAAAAAAGACAGCCACTAACTCACCTCCTCCGACGACCCAAAGGCCTGTCGGAACAGGTGGGTCTTTAACTGCCCCTTAAAAATCTCCATTGAGAGGTTCCAAAGCCTTGGGGCCACCGCCTCAAAGGCACGGTCACCCATAGTCTTTAGCCTGGTTCGGGGCACCCTTAGGAGGTCTTGTTCGGAGAACCTCAGGGCCCGGTTTGTGGTGAGAGGGTGGATCAGGTCATTGATGTAGGCTGGGGCTTGGCCATGGACAGCTCTATATGTGAAGACCAGTACTTTGAATTGGGTTCTGAGATGGACAGGGAGCCAGTGCAGGGCTGAAAGAATCGGAGTGATGTGGCATGTTTTTTTGGACCGAGTCAGTAATCTGGCTGCAGCATTTTGGACCTGTTGTAACTGGTTTATTGATGTTTTGTTGAGGCAGGAGAACAGAGCATTACAGTAATCAAGCCGGGATGAAATAAAGGCATGGATAGCCATCTCCATTTCTGCGTTGGATAGAACCCCCCTGAGCTTGGCAATGTTCCTGAGATGGAAAAAACAGGTACGGGTCAGAAGTTTTACGTGTTTGTCTCTTAGCATTGACTGATCGAAGGTAACACCAAGGTTTTTGATGTTTGCCCTTATGTTACCACTGAATGAACCCAGGTGGCTTGCTACCTTAGAGGCGATGTTATCAGCCGCCAAGATCAAGACTTCCGTTTTTGATGCATTGAGCTGAGCTGTAGGAAGTTGCTTGACATCCACTCCTCAATTGCAGACAGACATGTGATGAGGGTGTTCACTTTTTCCATTTTGACAGGTTTGAAGGAGAAGTATATCTGGATATCATCTGCGTAGCAGTGATACGAGACACCTTCAAATTGGCTAATTAAGTGGCCCAATGGCAGCATGTACAGGGCAAAAAGAAGGGGGGCTAAAACAGAACCCTGGGGCAGGCCGCAGGATAGGGGAGTGCTAAGTGATGAGAATGGGCCCACCGCCACAGAGAAACTTCTCCCACTAAGGTACGAGGCAAACCACTGGAGGGCAGACCCTGAGATGCCTACCCACTCCCTGAGTCTATCTAGCATGATGGCGTGGTCCACTGTGTCAAACGCTGCACTCAGGTCCAACAACACCAGAACCACGCAATCACCTGCATCCGATGCCATCATGAGGTCATTGGAGACCCTGAGGAGAGCTGATTCCGTGGAGTGATGTTTTCTGAAACCTGATTGGAATTTGTCATGGATTTTATTGTCATTCAGAAATGTATTGAGTTGATTAGCAACAACTTTTTCTAAAACTTTTGACACAAATGGGAGCTTTGAGATGGGCCTGTAATTATTTGGGAGGGAGGGATCTAGATTGTTTTTTTTGAGAAGGGGCTGAACAACTGCCTGCTTAAAAAATGATGGGACAATCAATGGAGATGTTTATAATGTGGAGCAGGGGTGGAGCGACACATGAAAAAACTTCTTTTAGCATCGACGTTGGTAAAGCATCCAGAGGGCTTGAGGAAGATTTCATAGTGCTCACTACAGAGGTCAGGTCGGCTATGGTGATGCAGGAGAAATTACTCAGCGTGGCCTGCCTAACTGGACAGATAGGGAGGGGGGATGTAAAACTGATGTAAAAAGGATGTGTGTTAGTAATGTAAGTAATGCCGTGTTCCTGTTTGTGTCTCCAAACCGAGTTAGGGTTGATCCCAGGATGAATGACTCATATATCCTCACTTCAAACAATCCAAACTTTAAATCAAACCGAATGTGAGTGATGCCAATCCAATCAAAGAAACAATGTACAGTTGTGATTGGAGCATTTATACTTGAGCTATTATTTTATCCTTAACTAACTCTTCTGGGTTTTAAGCACCAACCCACTTTGTGCAGTCAATTCCTACCAAAGGCATTATCTGCACCGACTCAGACAGCTGTTCTGAGTTCTGAATCCAACAACATGCTTTATAGTTCCACTCACTGTATGTGTAAAATACATCAAAGCATTTCCCACTGTACAATCATCCCCCTGCTCCTCTGACTGAGACTCATCCTCAGGAGACTTCACTCCTGTTGACACAAGCTGAAATAAATGTGATATTCATTCAGCAGCTTTTGCTTCTTTTTTGTTTAGTTTTTTATATATCCTGGAATTCTATCCCTGTTTGAAAGGCGTTTTATGACCCACCCATACAAGTACCAGGGAGGGGTTTTATCTGTGGGAAATACTGCCTCACTATATTCCTATCTCTTCATTTCAGTGTGTTCTCTGTTCAGGGTGGGCGCTCCTTAAAACGCTCCAAGTTAACAAACCATGTAATGCATTGACTCAGTGCTTCATCAGCAATCCATTCTCACTTCCTAGAAGTCCCAGGCCCTTAGTCTTAGAGACTTGTACTTACTTTCTTCACCTTTAGAGGCACGTTTTCTGTTCCTATCTGTAATTGTAGTAAAAGTCAGGCAGGGAAGGCTAGAGGATTGTTCTTCAGGTTGTTATGGTTCTTCTGCTCCTGTTTTCTAACCTGACATGTCTCTACATCTGGTTCTCAGACCTGCCGCTGGTTGAACTCTGTTTGTTCAGAGATCCACTGAGAGGGAGAAGCAGACCGTACAAATCCACAGCAAATTATGTATTTTATTAAAGTAGGCCTCCATTTTTTTAAACTGTAATGTCAAAAAGGGCCTTGTGGCTGAGGCCCACATCCCATAACCACAAAGCCCTTTTCAGCAGAGAGCCTATGTTCCAGGATTGAAAGGCTTTTTATGGCATAAGCATTATATACATATTGTTGAAGGTGTGTGTTGGAATGAGTGTATATAAACTATTGGTAATGAAGGAACATGTTACCCAGAGTGGCTGATTGATGTGTTTGTTATATATTTGTTGACAACAATGCAGCTTTAATAAGATCATCAGGCTTTTGTTGAACACACAATACTCCTTTTTACCTTATTGTAAAATGTGAGTACGTTCCATGAGTTCAACAGTAAGCTAGAATGTGTTTCTTTGTCCTTGTCCTTCCAGACCGGTCCCAGGTGCCAAACCAAACACAGCCTCGCCTCCACCAAGAAAATGACCTTCTGCTCCCCCCCCGACAGCCTATTTGCACTATAGAGACTTTGGCTGGTACACCACAGCGCTGTCACACAGAGGAGGACGAAGACAAAGTCAAAACCGGGAGAAAAACAGGATTCTTCTAAGTTCAGACTTCAAAATGAAACCCTACCCCCGCCCCCATTCTCAACTCTGCCCACTCCTCCCAGCGAGCTAACATTGTCCACGATGACGCGGTTTTGCACGAGGCCTTGCAGACTGAGACAAGTGTTATCGCTGGGGGGGGGGCGCTCACATTTGCCAAATCAATTTTTTTAGGATTATCGTTTGTTTTTTAATATGTTAATGCTGTCTGTGTATACAAATAATGCATTTTGTAATGTTTTGTTTACAGTTTGTTTATTGTCCTGTTTTATATGATTTATGTTATGTGCCAAAGAGGTCTCTTCATACCTGGGGTGTGTCAGCGAAAACGCTTGAAAATCTTCTCATAAAGTTTACCGCAAGTCACCTCCTCCATTTTCTTTAGGTTTGATAATTTATTGTATTGTATGAGGAATGTTTAAAATTACAAATCCGGAGACACAGTGGCCTATGGGGAGGAAGGAGAGCCAATCACACAGCAGCTTCTTTGAACAGTGTTTACATGGGGGAGGGTCTGATGGTGGGACTTGCAGGACACACCCCGATCGCTCATGTTGATTTGAATGTCTTTCGCTGTGTGTTATGACTTTTGAATTGTTACATAAAATATTTTTACAAAACTATCATTGAGTTTCCTTCATTCTGTTTTTTCACCTCAACACTATGTAATGGAAATGTACGTGCGATGATGTGTAGACAGCCTGTGTTCTAAAGGGACCAACAGGATGCATATGATGCTGCACGTCAGATACTATCTCGTCTTGTTTACTTGTCATGCAATCCTTTGGCCACAGTCTTTTCAGAAAAACACAAATAATCACTGCTTAGAAAGGCCATTAATGGAGAACATGTGTTTTAGACATTAAGAATATTCCCAGCAAAATGTGGGCGAAAAAGAGCAAACATATAACCCCAAAAGCCATGTTATAAACTATGGACAGGGAGAAAGATGTGGATTTTTACAAAACAAAGACATTTTAAAAGAACAATTCAATGTTGGTGCAGACTGGAAAATCAGGGGCCCAATGTCTTTTTCAGTTTCCTATGGAGTCAGGGAATATGAGTCTCTGGCTCTGCTACCACAATTCCTTTTTAGTTGGTGGTTGAATCTTAGCTCCCCTCTCTGGCAGAACATTAGAAGCCTGTTTAACCTTCGACCTGCATCACAGTGATGTCATGATGTTCGAAAGTACACCTCATCACTGCAGCAAGGAAAGGGAGTTCAACCTGGAGGTCATCAAACCAAGATGAAACAGCTGTGATCCTCTACTCCACTGCAACCCACTTTCTAATCATATCCATTGTTGAAGTCCTCATTATTATTTTATAAGGCAAGTGGTTTTAACTGGTTGGGTTAAAGACTACAAGTTTCTCCAGCTTATAGTATAATGAACAACAATCTTCAAGCTAGTGGTGAAGTGGTGAAGTTGCATTGTGAGTAATGATTGTCCCAGGTTCTGACAAGAAGAAGAATGAATGGAATAAGACAAGGCCATATCTCTAGTTGTGTTGCAATCATTGTCGTGTTTTTGCCTGTAAATTGTCAATTGTAAGTCTAACAATGTTATAGAAGTCAAGTTGTTTATTCATGGTCTTAGTGGAACATTATTTGACTTGTTATTTACTTATTTGAGTGTGGTCTTTTCTGACTTTGTATTTGGCAATATCAGACATTTCAGTGTTATGATGACTGTTGGGGAATAATTTGCTTAGGTATTCAACCTTTGACACAGTTCATCATTTTCTCCTCTCACTGTCTCCTTTCCCACGGCATAGATCTACGTCCTGGGGTGTTGCTGCTATCTCTCTTGAGGAGGGGCAGCTTGGGCGCATTGTTGTGGCCAGTCTATGACGGAGCACAAGCCGCCATGAGGTAGTTTGCTGTTCAGGGACGAAGGTTCCCTGGCGCGCATTATTTTCTATGGACGACAGCTCTAGTTAGATTCAGGGTCCATAATGTTTAGTCTCACTGACGAAGAATGTTGATTATTACACTCTGAACTAGTTAAAACCTCGAACTACAGAAGAGTTCTTCAGAATTGGTTTGACATCCGCTGTGTCACCTCGTGACACACAACCTGTCTTGTGAATTCTCCGGCCGAAACTCCAAATAAACCGTCAGTGTTTGCCATCAAAGCTCCTGCTCATCCCGTGTCTCTCTGATTGCTTCAGAAGTTTCCCCCACCTGACTGAAGTTCAGTGTCAGGAACACAGCTGTTCTCTAAATAGAAAGCTTTTACTTGTCCCATTGGTAAGGAAGGCTGAGCAGCTCGAGCCTTTAATGTGTTATTCAAGGGCAACAGTAGCTAAATGAGTTAGCATTAAGTAATCACTGTATGATTGAAGGGTAAAGAGCACCTCGTTTCAATCAGTTTACTTTTATGTCTTAATGCAAGTGTTCCTTTTGAAATAATGGATGGATTGTCTCACAGTGTCATGGTGTTTTTAAAGTTCCTTGCAGATGAGCAGGAATCTGCTGCTCTGAATGGATTCCACTGTGTTGGAAATGAGAGAGGCAGCTCCCTGGAGACTAATGCATTTAGAGAGTCCACGGTCCGAGTGGAGGGTATCAGACAGCTGGAGGAATGGCCTGGTGGGGAGATATATCGATGTAGACGTTCTGCTAGACCATTACCGGGGCATCCAGCCCAAACCAACCTGTGGGCGAATACTGCGCCAGACTGCAGACGTGATCTTAATGAAAAGAGCTCCTGTCTATAAATCAGGCTGTATGCAGGCGCAGGCCGGAGGGAGGTGAATACATACGTTACTGTCTTCCTTCAGGCTAGCCTTCAGTTGGAGAGCCACTTATATGGAGTCAGGTGTTTCTAACAACAGAAGTCAGGCTTTGTTGCCTCAGCTCTGAATGTATTCAGGGTAATAACAGCAGAGTGTCACATAAGCTCTTCATATGAGCTCATTCAAGGTCGCTTCCTGGACAATTGAAATATTCAAAGTTTCAGGGATTTACTACTTTAGAGATTACAGCACTTCCTATTCAATAAGCCTTTGTGATTTTAACAGTGTTAACAATTATTCGTGTTTCTGATGTGACTTCCCTATTGGGAGGAAGACATCCTTCCAAAACGAGTCAGCACAGCTAAGCATTGGTTAGATATTGAACAAAGACTACTGTGGTTTGAGTAGAATTGATCATTTTATTATCAGCTAAACACATCATACTGGACATTTGAACAAACAAGTGATGTTTTCTTTTTAAGTGTCTCAATCCCTTCAAAATAAAACATTAGTTAGTATTCAAAACTGTAACATTTCACGTTTCACAAATGAGGTACTGCATCTATCTTCTACATTTTTTATAGATAATGTTGCTTTCCCACTAGTCTTGGTCTTGTGGGAAATGCTGTGTTTGGCAGTTGTTTAGTATTGTGGGGAGTTTGTGTATTCCCGTGCCCAGAGTTAGATGAGTTACATCAGGAGTTTGATAGTATCAATCTTTTCAAATAACTCTAATCAAGAAAGTACATTTCACAAAATGTCAAACTACTCTTCTCAAATGAAGATAGCAAGTCAGAGCCAGAGTCAAGTCTTTCCTCTGGGATTCCGGTCAGTCACCTGTCACCTGTTTCAGCTGATTTACTGACACTATGACTCGGAACCAGATGTGGTTATCTGGCCTTTCAGATGTTCTGTTACTAAAGAGATGAATTCTTGATAGTACCACCAGTTCAACTGACCTTCTGGATGTTCCCTGCCTGCATGCTGCCACTGTGTGTGTGCCTGTGTGTGAGAACAGCACATTAGCTAAATGTGAGCTAAGTAAGGAATACGGAGGCAGCGGTGCTCTGTATCGGTCTGCTCAGCCTCGTAGAAAAGAAATGCAAAAGAGAGTTTTTGATGACACCGAACCTTTCATCTTTTCATCGATCGTTTATTATCAAACACATATGCACTTCTGCATAGGGAATATTCAAATTGACAAAACAAGTTCCCCAGTGGAATTAGAATGTCTCCAGCTGCTGGCTGTAGCCTTTTATTTACACAGTGTGTATGAAACTACAGCCAACAGCTGGTTGCATAAGGAGTAGAAACACTGCTAACAAAATGTTTATCAAACACTTTCTGTAAATACATTTCTACTCATCCCAGTTTTGATAGAAGTTCACTTGTAAATTGTAATGCTGGTACGCAGATGTTGTTAACTTAACAGAGATTGGCTAGCTCATTTCCCCTGTATGCATTATTTTATGTTAAGCTGCTGGCTGGAGTTTCATATTGTTGTTACTCTGGTATCAGTCCTCTCATACTGTAACTCTTTGCAATAAATCAAATAAGCAATATGTTTAAATATGTAATTAATTGTGCAATTGGGACAATACACTCAAGGCTAGCCAGCTTTGAAGATATGGTCATGTCTCGCACATTTTATCTGAGATTTTAGGGATTTTAGCAACATTGTCTGAGTGACTCTTGGTTTGGATGTTATATGTTTTCAGTATCAATATATTTTAATCAAGTATTTTTAGGCAAGAAAATAAATATGTATTTATCAGAGTTTTGCTCCTTTCAGACCTTTGAATAAACAAAGAAATCCATCCATCCATCCATCCATCTTCTCCCGCTTATCCGTGGTCGGGTCGCGGGGGTAGCAGTTCCAGCAGAGAGCCCCAAACTTTCTTTTCCCTGGCGACATCAACCAGCTCTGACTGGGGGATCCCAAGGCGCTCCCAGGCCAGCGAAGAGATATAATCCCTCCACCTGGTCCTAGGTCTACCCCTTGGTCTCTTCCCAGCTGGACGTGCCTGGAACACCTCCCTAGGGAGGCGCCCAGGTGGCATCCTAACTAGTTGCCCGAACCAACTCAACTGGCTCCTTTCGACGCGAAGGAGGAGCGGCTCAACTCCGAGTCCCTCCCGGATGACCGAACTTCTCACCTTATCCCTAAGCGAGACACCAGCCACCCTGCGGAGAAAAACCCATCTCGGCCCGCTTGTATCCGCGATCTCGTTCTTTCGGTCATGACCCATCCTTCATGACCATAGGTGAGGGTAGGAACGAAAATGGCCCGGTAGACAGAGAGCTTTGCCTTCTGGCTCAGCTCCCTTTTCGTCACAACGGTGCGGTAAAGCGACTGCAGTACCACTCCCGCTGCTCCGATTCTCCGGCCCATTTCACGCTCCATTGTTCCCTCACTCGAGAACAAGACCCCGAGATACTTGAACTCCTTCACTTGGGGTAAGGACTCATTCCCTACTTGGAGTGGACAGTCCATCGGTTTCCTGCTGAGAACCATGGCCTCAGATTTGGAGGTGCTGATCCTCATCCCAGCTGCTTCACACTCGGTTGCGAACCGATCCAGTGAGTGCTGAAGGTCGCAGACCGATGAAGCCATAAGAACCACATCATCTGCAAAGCAGTGGTGCAATCCTTAGTCCACCGAACTGCAGACCCCCTCCGCCATGACTACACCTTGAAATCTGATCCATGTATATTACAAACAGGATTGGTGACAAAGCGCAGCCCTGGCGGAGGCCAACCCTCACCGGAAATGGGTCCGACTTACTGCCGAGGACCCGGACACAGCTCTCGCTTTGGGAGTACAGAGATTGGATGGCCCTGAGTAGAGACCCCCTCACCCCATAACTCCCGCAGCACCTCCCACAGTAACTCCCTGGGAACTCGTCATACGCCTTCTCCAAGTCTACAAAACACATGTAGACCGGATAAGCGTACTCCCAGGCCCCCTCCAGGATCCTTGCGAGAGTAAAAAGCTGATCCGTCGTTCCACGACCAGGACGGAATCCGCATTGTTCCTCCTCAATCTGAGGTTCGACAATCGGCCTGACCCTCCTTTCTAGTACCTTAGAGTAAACTTTCCCGGGGAGGCTGAGTAGTGTGATGCCTCTGTAATTGGCACACACCCTCTGATCCCCCTTTTTAAAAAGGGGAACCACCACCCCGGTCTGCCACTCCTTAGGTACTGTTTCCGACTTCCACGCAATGTTGATGAGACGTGTCAACCATGACAGTCCCTCAACACCCAGAGCCTTCAGCATTTCCGGGCGGATCTCATCCACCCCCGGGGCTTTGCCACTGTGGAGTTGTTTGACGACCTCAATGACCTCCCCCCGGGAGATTGGTGTTGATCCCCCGTCATACTCCAGCTCTGCCTCTAACATAGAGGGTGGAGTTGTCGGGTTCAGGAGTTCCTCAAAGTGTTCCTTCCAACGCCCTAACACTCCATCAGTTGAGGTCAACAACGTCCCATCCTTACTGTACACAGCTTGGATGGTTCCCTGCTTCCCCCTCCTGAGGTGTCGGACAGTTTTCCAGAACAACTTTGGTGCCGCCCGAAAGTCCTTCTCCATGTCTTCTCCGAACTTCTCCCACACCCGCTGCTTTGCCTCGGCCAAGGATGAGGCTGCTGCCCTTCGGGCCTGTCGGTACCTTGCAACTGCCTCGGGAGTCCCCCGGGATAACAAATCCCTGAAGGCCTCCTTCTTCAGTCGGACGGCTTCCCTGACCACCGGTGTCCACCAGGAGGTTCGAGGGTTACCGCCCCCTTGAGGCACCTAGGACCTTGAGACCACAGCTCCCCGCCGCGGCTTCGGCAATAGAGGCTTTGAACACCGACCACTCTGGTTCAATGTCCCCCAACCTCCACAGGAATGCCCGAAAAGCTCCGCCGGAGGTGTGAGTTGAAGGCCTCCTGAACTTGGGCCTCCTCCAGACGTTCCCAGTTCACCCGAACTACACTGTTTGGGCTTACCAGGTCTATCCAGAGGCTTCCCCCCCGCCACTCGACCCAACTCACCACCAGATGGTGATCAGTTGACAAAAACATACGGCCTCAGGTCCGATGATACGATAACGAAATCGATCATGGAACTTCTGCCTAGGTGCTCTGGTACCATGTACACTTATGAGCATCCTTATGTTCAAACATGGTGTTTGTTATGGCCAATCCATGACTAACAAAGAAGTCCATTAACAATCCACCACTCCGGTTCAGATCAGGGGGGCCGTTCCTCCCAATCACGCCCCTCCAAGTGTCTCCATCATTGCCCACATGTGCGTTGAAGTCTCCCAGCAAGATTAAAGAGTCCCCTTCAGGAGCCCCATACAGAACTCTTTCCAGGGTCTCCAAGAAGGCCGTATACTCTGAACTGCTGTTGGGTGCATAAGCACACACAACAGTCAGAGTTTTTCCCCCCCCCCATAACCCGCAGGCGTAGGGAGGCGACCCTCTCGTCCACTGGGGTAAACTCCAACAACGAAGCACCCAACCGGGGACTTGTGAGTATCCCCACACCCGCCCGGCGCCTCACACCTTGAGCAACTCCAGAGAAGAATAGAGTCCAACCCCTATCCAGAAGTAAGGTTCCAGAGCCGACGCTGTGCGTAGAGGTGAGCCCAACCAGATCCAACTGGTAACGCTCCACCTCCCGCACAAGCTCCGGCTCCTTCCCCCCCAGAGAGGTGACGTTCCACGTCCCCTAAGCCAGCTTCTGTCGCCCGGGTCTGGTCTGTCGAGACCCTCCCGCTTTCACTGCCACCCTTCTGGCAGCGCACCCGACCCCATCGATGTTCCCGTAGGTGGTGGGCCCCGCGGGACGGAGAAGCGGAGGTTGTTGCCCACGTTGCCTTTTCGGGTTGGGCCTGGCCGGGCTCCATGGCAAGCCCGGCCACCAGACGCTCGCCGACGAGTCCTCCTTCTGGGCCTGGCTCCAGAAGGGGACCCCGGGCTTCCTCCGGGCCGGGTATCCTCACTTCTTGTTTTTCTTTCATGAGGTCTTTTGAACCAATCTTAGTCTGGGCCCCTTGCCTGAGACCAATTTGCCATGGGAGACCCTACCAGGAACACACAGGTTCCAGACAACACAGCCCCCAGTTTCATCAGAGCACACAAACCTCTCTACCACGGTAAGGTGCTGGTTCTTCAGAGAGGCAAACAAAGAAATGTTGACATTTAAAAGCTGTAAATAATACAATTATAATTGGTTCAGTTTCACATTGTGATGGCTAACCGAGACACTAGAATGGGACCTGACCTAATGTTATTGGTGCTTTTCAGAGTCAAAATGTCTGAATGAAGGCAAAATAAAAGCTATGCACAAACCAGTCTAAATAATTACTTAAATATATCAGAATCAGAATCAGAAAACCTTTATTCCTCCCACAGAGGGGAAATGTGCATTTGTTACAGCAAGAAAAGAGCCAAAGACAGCTTAATATTAACTATAGGAAGCATGCATACAAACATATTAAAGATAAAAAAAATGAAAAAATATTACACAATTTAGAAAATACACATCTTGTAACAGTTTCGAAGATATAGCAGCTATATGTTGCAGAGCTATTAACGGCATATATATATATATATATATATATATATATATATATATAATATAAATATATATATATATTGCACATAATTGGTATTTCACAACAAGGGGTGTTATGGCATAGTCACATAGTGTTGTTGTGTGTGTGGGGGTCTACCAGGGGCCGTGGTGGTTATATAGTATGACCGCTGCAGGAAGGAAGGACCTGCGGTATCTCTCCGTGAGACACCACGGGTGGGGGGATAATAAAGAGGCATTCAGTCTTTATCCGGTTAATTATGGGCTGCAAAAACTAAAGGTGGAAGAACTACTCAGATTATTTGCTGATGATTTCCAAATGGTACTTAAGTAAAAGTACAAAAGTATTAGCATCAAAAAAACTTTGAGTAGCCTACCAACAGTAAAAGTACGTGTTATGCAGACTGGTCCATTTAAGCACCAAATATTTGAAATGATTGTATCATAATTATTGATGCATTAATGTGCTCATTATTCCACTTGGTAAAAGTGGGGTTAATTTGAATTACTTTAAATACTACTGTGTAGCTTAACCTATAATAATATATAATAATGGAATAATTTATATATATTTTGTATTAAATATCTAAAGCAAAAGTAGCAAGTAACTAAATCTGTAAAATAAATGTAGTGGAGTACAACATGATTTGACTACAAAATATAGTGGAGTAAAAAAGTAGTATAATATGGAAATACTCACGTAAAGTACAAGTCTCTAGATGTTTTACTTAACTACAGTACTTTTACTTTTACAGTACAGGTATATATTCCACCACTGAAAAAAACCAAATAATAGACCTTATTTGAGTTTTTCAGGCGGAAGGGGGCCGATCTGATTGGATCTCATTGGATCAGGTGTGTAGGCTGCTTCTCTTCGACCCGCGCTGCAGACACTTGAGAGTGCAGCCCCAAACCCCTAGAACGGTAAGATTACAAGTATTTTATACATTTAAGTTTACTTAAACAACATTTTCAGTAGGTTAATAACAGCTACTTTTTAAACTCTATGCTATTATATTAACAGTCGCTTCTGTTGTCGTCACCACACAGTGTCGCGTGTTCATTTAATTAACACGTTTTGGTTTGATGGAATATGGAAATAATATATTTAACGTTTAAATGCGTTTTTAATCACAAGTCACGGTTTACAGGTGTTATGCAACGCCATGATGACGTGAAAACCTTTTTTGTGTCCCTATTAGCATTTTCAATCAGTTTTTGTGTTTTCACGTAGGCCTACATAACCTTTAGCTAGCTTACCTAGCTACCCCATGGATGTAAAGAGAACTCGGTATCCTGGAGCTACATCCGGGTCTTTACCATACTGTCTAAAGCAGTGGCGGCTGCTGGAAATTATTTTAGGTCGGGCTATTGTAATGGTACGGAGCCCCCCTGGTGACATTGGTGAGAAAAATATTAATACATGGCCACGTATTAATAATGCTTGGCCACAAATTAGTTATTATGTTCCCACGCATTAGTAATTCGTGGGAACACAATAATTATTACGCAATAACTAAATCCAGATAGTCCAGATAATTATAATGATATCCTGCAATCCCTTGCAGTTAAGCACAGTGTCATCCTTAGCAAAAGGCACTTGATTCGGCTGCTGAAAATGCACGGTTTGAAACGTAGTTGAGTAAAGTTAGAACGATATTGGCAGATTCGGATTTCACAGATCAATAACTCATGAACAAAACGTTATTCAGACACAAATGACGTCTCCTAAGTACCGTGGTAAGGTTGACAACGAACTACAATCACATGTTGATAAAAAAAAGCCAATATGCGCCGTCCTCGCTCCGAGCTGGACACATTATATTAACCAAAATAATTCAAAAGCACATTCTTCCAAACTCTCTGCTGTAGTATGAGCAACAGAAGACTATTGATGTGTGTAATGAGTTTGGTAGTAATATACTGTAGAATAGTGAAGTGATGGAATATTATTATATTCTCTTTTTTCGGAGTTGCACTTTGCAGACGGTCCCTGAGCACTCGTTTCTTCTGACCAGTGTAATGTGTCCAGCTCGGAGGACGGCGCGTATTGACTTTTTTTGATCAAAATGTGATTGTAGTTCGTTGTCAACCTTACCACGGTACTTGGGAGACGTCATTTGTGTCCGAACAACGTTTTGTTCATGAGTTATTGATCCGTGAAATCTGAATCTGCCAATATCGTTCCAACTTTACTCGACTTGTTGTCACTCAGTCATCAGTTTCTATAGACTATCTGGATTTAGTTATTGCGTAATAATTATTGTGTTCCCACGCATTACTAATGCGTGGGAACGTAATAACTAATTCGTGGCCACACATTATTAATTCGTGACCACGCATTATTAATACGTGGCCACGTATTAATATTTTTCTCACCAATGTCACCAGGGGGGCTCCGTAGAATGGTGAATAAACCACATGGGGAAAATGTTGAGAAATGACCCCTTAAATTATGACTTCTGGTGATGTTAGAGATATGAGAAGACTGATCAATAATCATAATCATGATCATAATCTTCCAATACTTCCAAATACCTTGTCCTGGACATAGTTTCTACAGTAAACTGTGCAACAGTACAGTAGGCCCACACAAACTGCAGAACACCGGTTCTTTGGCAACACTCAAATGATTTAATTCCCATCCCATTTCCCAGGATTGGAGTACACTTAAGACATCAACACTTTAGAAAAACTTGTTTTGTGTTATGTATCTGAGAAAAAGAGGTGAAGACACATTATGTAACACATTGATTTGGCTAGCTCGGGTATTGATGGTACATATTGTATAGTGTTTTATTACAATTCTTATACTGGGAAAATATAGTAACACATTTAAAACATGTAGATTATGCTAAATAATCGATAACATTACATTTTTATAAAGATATTGACTGAAAAAAATTATATTTTAAGAATAATTTGAGAGCCCTTGGATATTTTAAAGATTATTTTGAAACCACTTTTTTTACAACTTTTATTTACATTTTTCTGAAGAAATTTTCTGATCCATATTTTGGGCATGAGTCATTAGAAATGTCATAGGTGGGACACAAAATGTCCTCCAATTCTGGTGTGACCCATATATACTACAGGGTGTCCGCGGGGTCTTAAAAAGTATTACAAGTTGATAAATCAATTTAGCGAAAATGAAGGCTATTAAAAAGTATTAAACGGCAAGGTATTACATTTTGTAGCTTGTTTTCAATAAGTATATAAATGGTCCAAAGAGGTTGTATTCTACAGTCTGCCTGAATGTAATCATTGCGTAGGTGTGTAGTGTGATTCTGTGTAGTTTATTTATGGCATCCCGTTGGGTTTGACGTCATCTGAACAGGACATCGCACGCTCACTGCTCGCTAGCGCGTGAAGGCCCGTTTATGCCGGTTGTTAAACAGCATCGTTATGGGGAAATGCAAGTCTGCGTCCAACTGGTTGGAAGATAAGGAGGAAGGACAATCAATACTGTATAGTCAATGTGAGGTAAAGTGTGTCGCCAAGGTTAGAACTCAAAGTGGTGATGAGGTCTTAAAATGTATTGAAAGGGTCTTAAAAAAGGTCTTAAAAGGTCTTACATTTGACTTCAGGATTCCTGCATATACCCTGTACAAACACTTAATCTTCGATTAGGATGGAGTTGTATCCAGACATTGAAGTATTTAAGAACAGAGTGAACAGAACTTACTTTAGACTGATGGAAAAAGGGTGCAAAAAGTCAAATATGAAATGGTAATAAATCTGTTATGCCTTCCCAACCACCAGTCCTGTGAACAGACACTGAAGCCATGGATACCTTTGTAATGCAGAGTCAAGCCAGGCAGCTGCTACACAACAAGTTTGTGTTGGTTCTTGGAGGCTCAGGTAAGAGACATGAACAGACACAGTCTTTGCCAGACACTGAATCTTATAGGAAAACTGCTTCACACCTTCTACACCCTTTTAAATCCCTCACTGCTCTGTCCCTTTTCAAGTTGTTGTCCTTTAAGGTTTTTCAGATACTTTACTGTATGTGAGTAAAACCTGTTGCATGTGTCTTTTGATTTCAGTGCAGCGCTCAATGTACAAAGACCTGGTTCTGCTGCTTCAGAGGGATAAGTTCTTAACTCTGCCTCAGCTCAAGTCCAAAGTAAATCTTTCCACTCACATGAAACTGCACTTACATGAGTAGTCATACTTCACAGCCTGCTGTCTTTTGTCTGACATCCATTCCTCATTGTGTCTTCATCAATTAGAAACAAATTATCTTTTTTTTCAAGATTCAAGGCTTCATTGTCATGTGCACAGTAGCTACAGTGTAGATATAGCAATGACAAACTGAAGTCACAGGCTCCTCCAACAGTGCAACATGGACATATATACACAAAGAGACAATGGCTGCCGGAACAAACAATAACATCAAGGGTAAGGCCTCCACTCAGATTAGCTATCATTATGAGGTAGAAAGTTAACAATATAAATGAAATCTGTTCATACTATTTTTTTCTTCTTTCTAAATAGACTACTTAAAGGTCCCATGTCATGGCCATTTCTACTGATCATCATTCCATAGTTGAGGTCTACTAGAATAGATTTACATTGTTCAATGTTCCAAACTCACATTGGTTTCTCATACAGCATCTCTGTATAGTATGTGTATTCACTCTCTGTCCTAAACGGCTTGTTGGAGCTCCTGCCCCCCCCTCCCTCTCCCTGTGAGCCCACTGTGCTCTGATGTGTGTTTATGTGTGACAATGGCATTTGTTAGCCACCAAAACATTACACCAGTAATGACAAACAGATGATAATGCTGCGTGGGGTCTGGGTGCCGTGTTGGCGGGACGTTGCAGGGCTCGCTGCTCTGCCCTTTGAGGCTCGAGGAGCGGACAGTGTGAGCTGGATTACTGGTGTCGTTTCCTGGTTGCTGCGTGGGGTCTGCGAGACAGCGAGACACCGCGGAACTCAGCCTGAGCTCACACATACACTCACAGCCTGGCAGAGTGTGGCGAACTGAGTGGAGATCCACGGAGCCGAGGCTGAGTGAGTGTGTGTGAGGAGCTCCACGGATTGGTCCATTTGGTCGTCGTTACGTCACTGTGACCAGGAAGAAAACAATGGAAAAGAGAAATGTCCAACGAGGCGTTCTGGGGCAGCACAGACAGGTCTTTTCTGTGTTAGAGTTTTACTCCCTACAGGGTGCACTTTGAGGGTTTGTGACTCTGCAGACCGTTCACATGCAGAAAAACCTTCATAACACACAAGGGGACGGGTAATAACCGTAAAAGTATGACATGGGACCTTTGAAGTGTCTATTAACTCGGGAAATTCCCTCAATATATTCAAGTTGGGAGTTATCAGTAATCAGAATATTTAGTTTGACCCAGACGCGCTCACTGTACCACCATCAAGGTCCAGGTTCCGTTTTTTTGCACAATTATAAAGATGCAAAATACATGCAATAGGTTATAAAGCTACATTTCAATGCAGAGAGGAAGGTGTCCTCCTCTTTTCAACAAAGAAATTACGTTATTGATATTACTCCTCACACGTACAAATCTCAATGAACAAAGTTCAGATAGCACAGAAAATCTATACAGACAAAACACACAAGCAAGCATACATTGTAGTAAAGAAATGAGGTATTTTGAATTCCCTTTTTTGCATGGTTAAATATGAGTGAATGTCTTTTGATAAAATATGACGTGTGCTTGTGTCACGGAAGAACACTTCTCCTGTGCTGGCATTAAATGTGTCCTCTCTGTGCTGCAGGGGGAGTTTTCCTTCGAGCAGGACCGCCTGGTTGAGGGGGGTCGTCTGGGTCCCCTGACTAACGGCACTGGGTACAGAGAGGTCCGGCAATACCACTCCGACCACCACCTGCTGAGATTCTACTTCCTGACACGCATCTACTCCCCGTACATGGAGAGCATCCTGGAGGATCTGAGGGAAGGACTCAAACCTGATGTAGTGATCGTCAGCTCCTGTGTGTGGGACATCACCAGGTAATGCAGCTCCACTCTGTATTCTACTGATAAACTCTCGCTCAGTTAGTAAGGGGGTGCTTATATATGGACTCTGTCTTAATTAATAGAGGGTTCACATAAAAGACAACCTTATTATTAAAGCCAAATAAATTACCATGAAATAAAGAATTGCAGGTAAGCGTATTAGTTAGTCTAAACTTCCAAAACATGTTATAGTACTTTAAATGAAGATAGATATTACCAGCAAAAATGTGACTATTTGTATTTGCCAGTACCAACAGTAATACAACCTTATGCTACTTATCACCTGATTCAGCGTCCAACAGAAGTCAATGAGCGTTAAAGGGGCACCGAAGACTGCTCTTAAAACATTATCAGTGATTTCATCTCATGAATGTGATTAGGTGTACATCTTGCGTTTTAAATGAATGACTCTATTCAGATTATAATTGTTTTACATCTAACTGTATTACAATACCATTATAGCACACACCTATCCATAAGTACAATATTTTAGCCACCTCAATGGGTGCAATCCATCCAATTGTGACAACATGACAGAAAGGAGGGGTTTAATAGCATGGTGGACAAAACTCCTCCTCTTTTGAAGGTCCATTGTGTAGAATTCTGGAGATCCATTGGCAGAAAGGAGTTAGATATTTACCATTTTGTTTTCATGTGAAACTTAGAATCACTGTTTTTACCATGTTGTACCGCCATGTTTGCAGTGTAGTTCTGAACTGACAAACGGCTGGCTCTAGAGAGGGCTTGTTAAAAATGTTTACATTTCTGTCGAGGATACCATATGTTTTCTGTATATGATTAGGTGGTGCCACTAAATCTTACACTGCTCCTCTTTAATATTCACTATTGTGCATGAAAGATTGTATTTGTGTGTTAAACATCATTCTGCATGGTCAGAAAAAGTGACTTTATTAGATAAGTAGGCATGTTAAGTTTATTTGAATTGTTCTGGCAAAGCAAACTCCATATTGTATTGGTTTATAATTATATGATTGTAGAAAAAAATCATTGACAGTTATAAAACAGCAATGCGGATTAAAAATGAAATGAAGTATTACATAAGCTTTTACAATAACAGTTGAACATAATAAAGCGTTTCCTTTCACAACAAGAGGCAGAACATTTCACCCTCTTATTTTCCTTTTTATCAAACCTCTTCTTGCACACATTGTAGTCCAAGGACTCTCAGTCTGCTTCAGCCTCTTCTTAAGTCTCTTTTGCAGGGAAGTCTTAATCTACAAAATAAGAATAGACTTTTATTTTGTTACATACATGAACAGTGACTGTGTTCTCCATCACATATTACAATCTTGAGTGCAGAAATAGCCTCTCCACTCCTTTACTGTGGACAGGGACTATGAGTGCAGGGCTGTGGGTGAGATACAGCTCAGAGGATTCTGGAGATAGAAGCCACAGGAGGCAAGGCAAGGCAAGTTTATTTATATAGCACTTTTCAACACAAGGCAATTCAAAGTGCTTTACAAAAAATGAAAGAGATTAAGAAAATGGCATTTAAAATCAGTCATTAAAAAGAAAAGCTAATAAAATCAACATTAAAAGAAAAAATACATGGATTAAAGTTACAGTGCAGTCTAAGATGTGAATAGTTCAATTAAAAGCAGCGACAAAGAAGATTCTCCCCTCTGGGGATTTGGTCTGGAGTAGAGCAAAGTGAGAACAAAGAAATGTGTTCTTTAAAACCAATAGACTGTGCTGCTGGTGGTGGTGGTGGAGCAGTAAATGTAACTGATATAGAGTATCTTCAGATCAGGACTTCTCAGTCTGGTAGAGGCAGTGAGGCACGAGGTCAGCTGCCTCACTCTGTCATCCTCCTCTCAGTCCTCAGAACACACTGCACACACTGTCTGGGAATCAGCTCCTTCACCCGTAGAAGATTAGAACACATTTCAATAAAACAGTTTTTGTTGTTTTTAAAAAGTGTTTCGTGTGCATGAATTTGATTCTGGAGGCTTAAGAACAGCATCTTATAGAAACCAATACCTTCCAGTGACCTTGACTATGCTGCCTTAACTATAAAATATCTTGAGCACAGTGACCTCAAACATGACGGCTTACTCAGGAATGTTGGGTGGGAAATGTTGCCAAACTCTTCTATAACATGAGAAGATCGACCTTTATTGATCCCAATAGGGAAATCCAGCAGCAACAGAACAAGAGAGAAACACAGATGAGAATACACATAAGCAATAATAATAATAAAATATCACTAGGTAACATGGTAACACAATTATTTTTTTACAAGTGATAGAGGTTTTTAGGTCAACAGGGTCAAATCTGGTGTGCACATCTCTACCATTGCCATATACAGAGAAAATGCCCAAGCCTCATGAATATTATTCAATGAACAGGAAAACCAAGGACTGTGAAATGATGTTGCACCACCTGCTCCACCTGGGAAAAGAAAATGTTCCTCTTTTGCATAACAGAAACTGCCAGATGATCTTTACAAGTTGCAATTAACACAGCACATTAGGGAGGGAATACAGTCCATATCGTTGATAAAACAAGACATCTGCAATGGGAGCAGGCATAATTGGGCACATCACAACTGTCCGTTACTCATTTGACTCCAACCTTGTAGTCCTTTTCATTCATGAAAAAATTGATGACTTTAAAAAGAAATCCAGGAAATTTAAAAAAGTTCCCATAAAAGTGTATATTCATTTTAAGAAATGATATGCAGAATAAATATATCCATGTTGTTTAATAGCAGTAATCTCACCTCAAAGTCCCAGTTTCCTGGTGACGGATGTCAGTGCTCTCATTGACCCTTGATCCCCTCACTGGGGATTTTAAGAACTCTGCCACCAGCTGGTCGTCCAAAGTCTGGCTCACTATCTCCACTTTCTCATCAATGGCTGCTTGTTTCACTGTTGTTGGCACTAACCTGGGGCACAAAGTAATTAAGTTGGCCTACTCATAGGGTGACCAGGTGCCAGAAAGCCACAAGTGGGACAGAGAGTATGTTTGTGTGGGACAATGTGGGACATGTAAATGCAATGTCGACGCGTGAACGGCGGGGGGGGGGTCGGCTGGAGAGACACTATGGACGCTGGTGAACAACTGTCAGCGGGGGGTAGTGCTGCACGATTAATCGAAAAAAGATCGTGATCTCGATTCAGACACCTATGCGATCTCATTTCTAAATTAAAATTTCTCTATGACGTCATGCTGATTTTTTTTTTTTTTAAATTTTAAAATTATTTTGCTTCTGAATAATACCAACTTGCAATGTCAATCATACTTAAACGATGTAAAGCAAATATACTCTATACATTTAACATTAAAGTACCATGATCGCATGCAAATGGTAGTGTTCTGTCTGTCTCTCCTCCTCTCATGCAGTGTGAACGCTGCAGCCACTAGGGTTGCCAGTTTTTGCGGAAGGAATAAGCAACCAGGTCTATGAAAACAAGCGCAAAAGAACATGAGCACTTTAAACCTATATATGTCGGGTCGGCTATTTGAAAATAACCTATCTACAAGCTCACAACCGCAACAACCATTATTACTTACTACCAAGCAACTTTACAGAAAGATAAGCCCAATGTGGCTTATAATAAGTATACCTGGCAACACTCACTGACTGCAGGAGCCGGCAGTATGTTTACAGAAGCGTTAGCATTAGCACTGATTAGCAAAGAGTGACGAGAGCGACTAGTAGTAAATGAGTGACACAGAAATGAGTGACGAGGAGGTAGAGGACAATGACAACAACACCGATGAAAATCCCGGTGGCGACTCTGGCGAGAGTGAGAGGGAAGTTGTGCTTGTGCCGAAAAAAGGACCACATTCATCCAGTGTGTGGAACTGTCACTGTGGACAGGTGCTACTGCAAAGTTTACATTTTGTTATTATAAAGCTGCAAAAATTCTATTTTTTATGTTCAGCACTCAGGCAGCAGCAATATCTTTATTTTAGTTACTGTATGTTTTGTTACCAGAGAGACTTGAGTTTAAGTCAAGCACTTTGTTTAAAGCCACAGTAGTTGGCTGTCAAATTCATTTTAGTTACTCTATGTTTTTGCTACAAGAAACTGAGACTTGGATTTAAGTCAAGCACTTTGATGTTGATGGTGTCTGTTTAAAGCCACAATAGTTGGCTCCAGGTGCCACATTTTGAATGTAGTAATGTTTGTTCAGTATTCAGCAACTACAGACTAAAGACAAAGTTATGTTTTTGTTACAAGAGAGACAAATGTTGTCTGTTTAAATTCATTGTACTCACGTGACGTCTAAGAGTAAGAGTGCAATAAATATTTTCATTGAAACGATGAGAATCGTGTGAGAATCGTGATCTCAATTCTTATGGAGGAAAATCGTGATTCACATTTGAGCAAGAATCGTGCAGCACTAGCGGGGGGGGAAGTGACACTACGGACGCTCTTACATATAATAATACAGGGCAGTGACGGCCGTCAGCGAACCGAGCCGGCCTTTCTCCGCATCTGATTTGTCATGAATCAGATTTTCGAAAAAGCGGTTTAGCCAATCAAAATGAAATATGCGGGACATCGTCTCAATTTGAGGGATGCACCAAAAGTCGTGAAAATGCTGTGCAGTCCCGTGCAAAGCGGGACATCTGGTCACCCTACCTACTCAACGTTAATTATTTGCAGGTGGTGAATTTACAATTTTTTTGTTAGCGGTTGAAGAATTTAAAATGAAACCACTCAAAGAGGAACTGCCCAATCCTTTGCATACGAAAATAATTGGCTCATAGCTGGTGTGGTGGGGCCACTTTTGCTTAAAGGTCACATGTCATGGCCGTTTCCACTGATCATAATTCCATTGTTGAGGTATACTAAAATAGAAAAATACTGTGCAATGTTCTAAACTCACATTGGTTTCTCATACAGCATCTCTGTAAAGTATGTGTATTCACTCTCTGTCTTAAACGGCTCGTTGGAGCTCTTGCCCCCCCCCTCCCTGTGAGCCCAGTGTGCTCTGATTGGTCACCTCGGCCACTCTGTT